AGTATATTGAAACAGTTCACTTGGCAAGGAAAGGAATGGGTGTATTGTGACATGTTTGAAAGCATCCATTTACTCTTTACGTTACTTTTTGTCATCGCTCATCAGTTGGAAATTGTATTTTTATATTAGATATATATAATTAAATAAAAATAAGTGGTGAATTAGCATTCTGCTGTGAACAAGTCCAATAGTGAAGTGTCATTGCAGTCCCTCTATACATATTCATAGTTACATAGTTATAGCTATAATAGTGTTTTTTTTATGTACGAGTTATTAAGATTTACCTCATTCAACTCACTGTGCTCTGCATAACATACACATTACTAGTATTATGTTATACACTTGACTTGAATGTGTTTACTTCAATTTTTCAGACGCCAAGCACAGAAGACATGCTTGTAGATGACCAAGAGGTAACACAATATTTAAATTATTTTCATATATATAATTTAGATCATAACCCAATTTCACTTTTATCCCATATCAAATAGGTATAACTATTAAAATCTATACTTTTTATATACAGACACTGTATGTTACTATATGTATTTTGATCACTTTGTAACTGTTGCTGTTGGACACATTTGTTGTTTATCCATTAATTGCCAAACCTTATTTTTGTTTTACTTTGAATTTACAGAGTGGTTTTGGTTTTTCAAAAGGCAGCTTCTTTTTGTAAATCGGCATGATGACAGAACTTTTACAAAAGTTTGCAAATTTTTTGTTTTACGTTTGTACTTTGGTTACATTCACCCTATAAGTGAAAAAGCCTATTTTTTTGGCTTTAAGTATATTATGTTTTCTTTTCAAAAACCAGCATGATTATTTAATTTTTGTGAAAGTTATCAACTATTTGGCTTTTTATTTATTATATATACATGTACATTTAAAACATGTTTTTGGCAACATTAACATTTTTTTATATATACATATAATTTCATTTTACCCTATAAACTAAAAGCAACGTGAACATAAAACATGCCAGTCCTTCAGTTTTTTATCTGCCAGGGATGATAAGATTGACAGTTCCTCCACCTTGTAAATAGTTAGATGTATGTAACGTGAAAGTTGCATGTTTGTAGTACATTAGTTCAACTAAAGGGTTTTACATTTGCAAATTCATAAGAAATCGTTCTTCGTATATAGTGACTGTTGAGGCAATATAATCATTTGCTATTTTTTACGCTCCTGTTGAATTTCATTTACATGGTAAAAAATATGATATACTGCAACATTCAGGTGTATTTTTTATGTTCTCTTTTCTTGATAAGAGATTGATTTAAGGCTAGGTTTAATGAAGGAAATTCAGAATTAAAGCAGAGTTATGGGTATGATACATATGCTAATGGCATTTGATATTTCACCACATCTCCCCTTTGGCAACTTATCAGAAAACTTTTCGGTGAATTAGATGTACCGTTTTGGAGAAATGACAAAAAGGAAAATAATACACATTTTAATGACATCTGATAGTGTTTTTTGAATTGGAAAAATATTTTTATTTTATTTTATGATATAATCATATGACATTTGCAGCATAGTGCAAAGTTGAGTAACAGGCAGCTTGTAAAGGCAGCTTGAAGCAAAATTTGATGTCCTTAGCTTCTTGATCAACTTTTACATGAATTATCAGAAAAAATGGATCAAAATATTACTTAGAATCCTTTGTACTTATTTATATTGTTTCTTAGCCAGTCTTGTGCATCTCTCAAGGGTCTTTTGCATGGCCTCTTTTGTCCTTAGAGTAGGAAGTACCAATCTATAATTGCTTAATAGCATGCATACAAAAATTGATTATATTTCATATTCTGGTAATTAGTAACCCTATCCTCTATCCAGTAGATTCTTTTCTGGATATTCCAAATATTTATCTCACAGGTCTTAGTTTGCACAATAAGGATCAGTGTCCTAAGGGAAACCAAGGACAGATCCAGAATAGGGATGAACCCACCACCTAACCCACCCACCCATACCCCCCCCCCCTTACTCACACACACACACATTTTAAGATAAAAAATATATATATCCAGAAAATAGCTATTTTAGAGTCGGCTAAGAAAGAGAAGAGAAACACTCCAGTGCATTTTAGGATGTTTATAGAAAATAAAAGCCATAAACAGTGGGTGTTGCAGAAATGTGTCTGATATGCTAATCAAATATACCTTTTCTGAACTTACCCTTACTTCCCATAGTTAGTCAATCATTAAACAGTTTTTGTTTTTCAAAGTAATGGGCAGTTTGAAAAGCTGCATAAAGCATTTTGAGTATTCAGAACATTGATATTTTATCAAATTGTCACATATTTTCTGCTTTTGACCATAGAAATGTTTTGATCAGCTGACAACTTGCACAGCGGATATTAAAAAGTGTAAATAATGCATTGTTTTTGTCTTTAGAAAGGTTGCAATTGGGTACTGATATTAAGTTACTTGTTAAACATAAGGTATTATGTTTTCATCCCCATATATTGCTAATATTTAGTTAGGATGAGTAAGAATCATTAAAGGGATAATAACTCTTCGTATGAGATCTATATTTCACAATAAAAATATTGAGAATAACTCATAGAAATATAATATATCCTGTTTTACCACAAAAACTGCAGTTATAGCTATTATTCTGATATCTAAACTTGTCTTTAGACCACGTGACCTCCATTGATGTCTATACTCTGTTAAAATCTCTTAAGAGATTTTAACAAAAAACCAAACTTTTTAGAAAAAAACCAGGGACTAACTTTGAATGTAAAAATGGATTCATTAACCATTGGTAAGTATGGGAAAATTTATGTTTACTCCAGGAAAATTCATTTTTTGGCCAAAACGAAGAGTTATTATTGCTTTAAACATTTGTTTAGAACCAGGGTAGTTATGGACTTGTATACACATTTTTAACCCTTATGTCAGTAAAGCATTATTGCCAGTATTTAACAGACTTTTGAAACAAATTGGTAATATGTTCAGATGACAGAAACAAAAGGAGTGCGCTAGATTTAGCGAGGCATGCTAATCGCAGAGATCTTTATAGAAGGCAGTCACATGTTTAGCATGCATGTGTTATAACAGATATGCTATTCTTGATAATGAAAGCCAGTTAATCTGCTCCTTTATATTCATGAAATCTGAGGTTTGAATGTTATTTTAGTCAAAAGGCGACAGAGCAGAATAATAAGAAGGTGGATGCTTGGTAACATGCAAGTAAAAGATGAGGAAATAGCATGCCTTATTCTGCCCCGTTTTTCTTCCCCACTTTCTTTCCAGCCTTCTTTAAATTATCCACCAATCAGTCTAAAGAGAATGGGTGAGAGTTTTTCAGATAGACCTGTGAAGCAGTTTATGTGCAAGAATAGAGTTACTGAAGTAAAAAAAAAAAAAGCTTAGGAATGTTATATGCATTTGTGCAATTTATGTGCATGAATAGACTTACAAAAGTTTTTTAAAAAAAGCTTATAGGAATGTTGTTTGTCTGATGAAAATACAATAAGATCATGCACGGATATTTTGGCAGCACAAACAGGACCTGAAGGGCCCAAGTTGTACGTCAGAAGTGAATCCTCTTGGCTGACAGCTATGTACCTGGTCATCAGTTGTGGCACCTTGCTGTCTGACCTGAAGCTAGCTATCATGACCTTTTTTAGGCCACGATAATTGCACTTCTTGCCTCTAAAAAAAGAGTTGGATTTGTAAATGTATTGACTAGTGGTAAAATATTCTTTTAATATTTTTTCTGGTCATAAATTGACATACTTATCTGCCCCAGTTATATACAGCACATAAAGCAAAAATATATATTGATTCGAACTTTGATAAAATTTATAAAGGTTGATTTTCGCTTAAAATGACTGGTCAGTCATAATGATAGCAACCATTTCCCTGTAGGTTCCAATGGAAATATCAACATCAGGTACACTCCAGAAACTGTGGATGGCTAAAATAAGCATTTTGGGGATCTTAAACCTATGGAGTGTACCTTTAATATCCAGAATATAGACTTAGGGGCCCATTCAGAGTAGATGATTTGAGTACTAACTGATCCACCGACTAAATATATCCAACCCCACTTCAAAAGCAATGACGCTGATTCCCGATGGTCTCCCCGCCTCCACATGCACCATTAAATGGATTAAATCTTGGCTCTGAGATTTAATTGCCAGGCCCCTGCAGCGACGGCGTGTGTGGAGGCGGGGAGACTTTCATGGAATTAGCAGAATTTAGTCGGCGGATCAGTTAGTACTCAGATCATCTATTCTGAATGGCCCCTTAACTACTTGTCGTTGGGTGTGTAGACCTTTCACTGTGCTCATATAAGGGAGATGTTGTATCAGCATGTGTCCTCAAGTGAATGCATTTGTGGATATTGTTGTTTGGTAAATATGCATTCTTACCCATCAGTGCATAAAAATGTGCCCTTTTCAGGTATGAATTACATCAAAAGAACCAATAAGAATGAAGTCACATTTCAACAATTTGCCCTATTTATGATGTAGTTTTGTCTTTTTGATAAGGGTCAGCAACGCAATGCGGGTTTTAAATATGTCATGGTTGTCCCAAGCATTCTACCTAAATGACTAAGCAATAAAAAGTATGCATAGCTAGCAAATAACATTGTGATTTTGAACAAATATCTGCACACAAACACCAAATTAAGTAAACAAATCGAAATAGCATTTATATGTGATCAGCCCTATATTGAGTATTACTGGTCATTTTCTTTATATATAAATAGCTCATATTCGAATTATAATCAATAACATTGAGAAATCTAGATTAATATTTTCCAAGCACTTATGGTAGTTTATAGTGTGTCATGCATGTGCCAGCTACATTTTTTTCTTATTGATGATCAATATTTGGGTTGAGATGATCCGGTCAGTTGTTTAGTTCCTGTGCAAGTGTAAAGAGGGCAGGACTTGTGCCAATTAGTGTTAACTGGAGGAAGTGGGTTTTTGTATTCCTCCTCCACGGATGGCTTGCTCTCAGCTATCCATGACATGCACATTCTCACAGCGGCCACAGGATTGTTGGACACTGATAGGTTGATGATGAAGATAGGCGGGCCTTTTACATCACCTTACAGACCAAATAAGTAAATGAGTACATCACAGTGGAATCCAACCGACAAAACACTGAGGGAAAAAGTTACTGTCAGTGAGACAGACTAGTTTCATGTGTGTAGACCATCCAGAGCGGTCTGTGAAAAAATAATCATTGATTTAGGATATATTTATACTGAAGAGTCTAATTACCAGTGATTATAAGTGGATCTAGTTGAGAATCATGCTGGGTATGAATACAGCATACGCGAGGCCAGGAAGTAGGAGGCGGCAAGGAAAAAGTGAAGGGGCAAAAGAGAGCGTAAAGGACAAGCAACGGGATAGCTATGTTAAAATTATCAAACACTTTCTCAGGCATCCATTTCACTCAGGAGAGAAAAGTAGGCAGGAGAAGCCACATGAAAGTCAGAAAATGCCAACGAAGGTAGGAGCATGCAACACCCAGAAATAAATGTAACAGTCAATCTTTGACGTCATTAACAAGCCGTTGCATGTCAAAGAAAATTTAGGAGTCTGGGCAAGTTGAATGTTTCTGGTGGCTTTTTATTCATTTATTATTATTTGATTGTTTTTTTTGTTTTTTATTTTTGTTTTTTATTTCCAGTTTTTTTAAAATTATTTTTGGAGATGGCAGATGTCTTTGACTTGTCAAAATAGTATTCTTCTCAAGTGAAAAGATTATGATTTATGATGTACGGAGTGCCATACTCTTTGATCTAACTTGCTTTATAGATAAAAACAACACTAAAATGAGAAATTATTTACATCTGACCAAATATATTTCATTTTGATATCTTTGTTAATTAAAATAAGTGGAATAGCAGCATACTTGTCTGATTATGAGGATTTTTTGTACATTTTAATTTCAATTTCATGAATATAATATAACATGCATAAAATTTATGTTCGCGTAAAATAAGTACCACCCTGAGTTTCAGAGCCCTGATGGTGACTTCCATTACTCAGCATAAATGTCCACTAGCATTCAGAAACTCGGGGGGTGACAGACTTCTACAGAGAATAGATTTCAGTAATGGTGTTCACCTTGTAATAATCTGTGTTGGTGGTGGTATCCCTCACAGCTGTGACACAACCCACAATCTGTTCAAGGAAACATCTCTTGCAAGATTTTTAAAGCTAGCATTGTTTTAACACACTGAAACGTGCAATAAAAAATATCTCAAGGACGCTTAGGAAAAAGCTTGGTTTTTAGTGGGTGTAGGATATATGGAGGAAAATTCTTCTGGCTTAGGCGTTAATAGCAAAGAGTGGGTTGACATTTGCTAGAAATAAAACAAATTACCCTATTTGCAGAGTTTTTTTTTATTCAAGATACAACTTGTACTTGGGTTGTATTTCCGTGAAGGAATTAAACGTGAATCGTGAACATTAAATAAGCAAACTAAGCATTTGCCTGTGCATTAATTAATAGTAATACTGCCTGTTTCGAACCGATTCCTCTTTACCCTTAGGTAAAAGAGCTGAATGAATTCCATCTTTTATCGTGTGGATAAATGCAGGTTTCACATAAAAGTAAAGAACTGTGGATTAAGCTTAATAAATTTATATCTTCTGTGGTGATCATTCGTAGTGATGAGATTATTGTAGATGACGAAATTTGCATAGATCATGGTTAAAGGGATGTAGTTAAGGATTTGGATGATACAGAGTGATTTATGTTAAGGAAGGGGGTGTTAAGGGTTTTCAAAAGGTTACATCTGATATATTCACAAAAACCTGTTAATCTTATGTAATATTTTTTAGAACCTGTTATAAGAAAATTAATGAAACTAAGAAAGACTTTTAAGAAGGAAAGCAAAGGATAGGTAGCTATGGTGTATGATGATATTGAAAATGGAAAGTATGTGTAATGGCATAAAAGAATGAATGAGTGAATGGAAGGCAGAGGCATTCCACCTTTGGGTGCCAATCTTTGTGGTTTTTTTAAGCTGTGAGAATGGAGGTGGTGAGGAATTTACTTAAGGTGTTTAAGTGTACCATAGCATATTTAAGATTTAAGGAAGATATTATGTACACTGAAAATGTCAGTACAGGTAGACTGGTCTTCAGGCTGTGGGTTGTTGAAAGGAGATACCTTGGCTCTGTGTAGGTTAACAGGCTTTATACAGTATATAGAAACTTGGTGATGCTTTGGCAGCAAAGCACAAAGGTTTCTCCAATGTTTAATATTAGATGGCTATTCCTATGAAGACTTTCATAATCCTTTTATCAGTATCCAATGACTGAAAAAATATCAGAGAATAAAACATACCATACAGGTTTTGTTCTCTTTCAGCCAGTAAAAGAGACTTGAGGCCTATATTTTGCTTGGGTTTGGTCTGCTAGGAGCAATTGCATTTTTGTACAATTTTCAGACTGCCAGTTTTGTGTATATAAAAAAGTAATGAATTCATATAAAGTTTAGAAAAAAGAAAATTTTGAGTTTGTTTTGAGATAAAAAGTTGATAACAGGATATGCTCTTTCCTGCTGGGGCCAACTGGAGGTTCATGCTGATTTTTTTCTTATATTTCAGAATGATGAGGAGATGCAAGATCAGGAAATTGAAGTCACGACTTTGGTCAGGAAAGGAGAGAAGTGCAATCCTGGTGATTTTGAATTACTTAAAGTTTTAGGCCAGGGCTCATTTGGAAAGGTAAGCTGTATGTTTTGAACTGCACTGAATGAGTCTTCTGGTTGTAAAATAACTTAATGATTTTAAAAGAGCTGAATATCAACTGCAGATGTGATGTAGAGAAAATCTGGGTTTCTTTAGGTTTGCCACAATTATTTGTATGAAAGGTCTCCTGCTGTATACCACAAATTGATTATAAGATGGTGTATGTAAAAAGACTTATCTGGTAAGCAGTTGTGCAACTTTCCATGTAGTTGATAGAATTACAGGCTACTTATCAAAGGAACTGCCAGACTTCTTCATTTGTACAACTTCCTTGTTCCGGAAGTTTCTTTCATCTGAGCCTCACAAAGCAAGACTTAAGAGTTCAGTGCTGTAGGAAGAGCCTAAAGGATGGGCAGTGCATTTAATTGGAACATTTTCTGTAAGATGGCAATGAAATCTGTTTGGTTTAGTTGGAACGTGTAGAATATCATGTTTGCTTGCAATGTCACCAAAAATCATTAAAATATTGCCCAGCCTATGAAAAGTGATTGATAATTCAATATTGCCCAGCCTATGAAAAGTGATTGATAATTCAATACACCATGGAACCCTATCATAACAAATGAAATTACATATTTATCTGCATGCTCAGTTCAAGTTGATTTTTTTCATTACAAAATCTAATTCCATGATGCATTTCATCGTAAATGTTACCAGGATTTAAGCAGCTATATTATGAATGCAAAATCTCTTTTTGAGGTACTATTGCATTCAAGTTCCTTGGAGCTGTTTATTGTGTGTGACACCTTCCTCTTTCAGACCAGAAACAAACCACTCCTTTAAAGATAAAACGCTTTCTGCTTTCCAATCTGCTCTGACAGAAATCCTGTTGGAGATGCTATGTCACTTAATGCATGAAAACCATCTCCAGACCAGATATACTCATATATGAGAAATATGTCCTGAATTATTGTTTTATATGTCAGGACATTTTGGTATATAGTTATTGGGTGATTTTTATGTGATCATCACTCCATTGTGCAAAATGTTTGGTTAGTTGATTTTGAAGACGGTTATTCCGTGTTATTATGGTTCTTATTGTTTTACAGGTGTTTTTGGTAAGAAAAATCAGTGGCCATGATGCAGGCACCCTGTATGCCATGAAAGTGCTAAAGAAAGCTACTCTCAAAGGTAAGATTGTCAATTCACTGAGCTTTTTGCATTTTTATCCTTTCCACAAATACTTTTTCATCATTATGATCGATTAGGAAAAAAGCATATTCATAGATTTTTCATTCTTTGCCAATCACTCTAATCCATCAAATATTAAAGATAATTGGTCTTTGTTGACAATCGCTGTCTTAGCCGACTTGTCAAATGATGAACTAAAAGACAAATTAATCAGTTTATTTAATATGTATTTATTTAGGATAAGACTGGATGTTGATACTTATTTATAAGTAATCGATTTCATATGAGTTTTATATAGTATAGAAATAATTGTCTGAAAATTGTAACTGCTGAAATGACAACCATAATTGAGTGAAAAATTGATTGTTATTTGCTGTTGGAAATCCTGGCATGCCAAGCAAGATTTATTATAGATTCCTATATAGAGAAATATTTCCCATTTTGATGTTATAATGTTAGGTACAAAATGTGCCTTGGATGTGGTTTTTCTCTGTCAGTTTCTTAAAAGTAAATTGGAGACCTTCAAGAAGTCTTCAGGCATGTCTGTAAAATTAATAGTAGGAACATGTTTGATGTACTGCTTGACATATTATAGTGTGTACTTGATTATCTTTGATTTTGGTTCAATGAAACGACAGTAATTAATGTAAGACATTTAAATGAAATAAACATTGTTTATAAGATTTTATAAGATGCAGGGGTAAATTTTCATTGGCTGCAGTTTTTTTTTTTTTTTTGCTCAGACTTGCTTTGTACTTTCCTGCTTCTTATTCTAATTCATATTCTTCATTTTGTTATTCTTATAAGTTTACATCTTATTCTAGTGAGAGACAGGGTAAGAACAAAGATGGAAAGGGATATACTGGCAGATGTTGATCATCCATTTATTGTAAAACTCCACTACGGTAGGTTATGAAAAAAATAACGAACATTGCATTAACTTGAAATTTTTTGTTTTATCAATAATTATAGGATAAAACAGCTTTGAGCAATATTTTCAACCAGTTATTATCAGAAAGTTTTCATTCTGTAATTACCTTATTAAGTTCACTGTATTTCAAATGTCTGTGGTTGTTTGTGAGCTATAATGAGTTTTGATTGATCATAAATTGTTTCCTAATTTTAGCATTTCAAACAGAAGGGAAACTGTACTTAATATTGGAATTCCTGCGAGGAGGCGATTTGTTCACTAGATTATCTAAAGAGGCATGTATTGTTTTGTGGTTTTTATCTGTTTTATGGTAACTATATATGGAGGTATACCTGACAGATAGGGCATTAAAAACTCACAAGGTTGGATGATCACAGAAAAGGTTCCAAAATGTTAACGTGGCAAAAATATATAGTCACTCCCTTGAACATTTAAGGTTAATTACACCTCTTTCAAATCTTCCACATTCACAGAGAGGCCTGGTGTCTTGCCTCTACTTTGGGCATTAAGGCAAATCTGTTAGAAATGCAAGCAAGGGATTTAAAATCAATTGGGTATAGAATGCAGTGTAAAGATCAACTAGAGTCTGTGCTGTAAAAAGGATGTTAGTTCAGCAATTCTCTAAAGATGTGGCAAAACTTAGATGCCAGTCACAGAATTTCAACCGTGGAATAAAATGGTAGACTTTCACTTCTATTGCCTCATTAAGTTTGTAAAGCATGGTCATCACAGTGCTTTCTGCATTTTACGTCATCATCTTTTTTTTTTATTATTATTTTCACCTTTTTTTTCAATAGGTAATGTTCACAGAAGAAGATGTCAAGTTTTACCTGGCAGAATTGGCACTTTCTCTAAATCATTTGCACCAAGTAGGAATAATCTATAGGGATCTGAAACCAGAGAAGTAAGAATTTTTTGATATCTGTATCATTGACTTAGATAAGATTAGAAAGTTGAAAAGTTAATGTGGCAAAGGGTAAAATGCGTGGGATAGAGAAAAAGGTCTTAAATTGTTGTGTGATCGCATGCATTGCATTTGATATTGCATGGAGGGCTTCAGCCAGTTTCCGCTTGACTGATTGATGAGAGGAAAAAAAAAAGATTAATCAAGTTTCTTTTATTTCCTTATTGATTCTCTGTTACTTGCAGTGTGCTGCTTGATGCCGATGGTCATGTCAAACTGACAGACTTTGGTCTAAGTAAGGAGTCCATCTTTGAGGAGAAGAAGACGTACTCATTTTGTGGCACTGTGGAGTATATGGCTCCTGAGGTGGTCAACAGGAGAGGGCATGGTACAGCTGCTGATTGGTGGTCTTATGGAGTACTTATGGTAAGCTGGAGAGACCAGACTTTATCCTAACCATGTGCTACAATTTGTACTTTCTCAACACGTCCTGCTGACGTAATAGATATAATGAAATATGAAGGTATTACTCAGATGTTTTAAAATGCATTCAGCTTGCAGTTCCATGACTGGCAACTCTTTAGCAACACCTTTATAAATAACAGCATTAACAAGCAATTTTTAAGTAGCCTTGACCCCTG